AAAAAAAAAGCAACACAGGAAATGAAAACCCCAGATTCTTCGAATGAGCTCAAATAGAAGAGGTTGTGGAGGTTGTGAACCAGAGATGAATCATCTCAAAAGGTGTAGTTGCTAGTAAAGTGCCGTCGTCTGGCAAATTTTTTCTTCGAATTTCAGCGAATTTGGAGCAGCAGGATTAGTTGCCCATAGAAGCGGAGCTGAACAAGATCGTTCCTGTGATGGAAGAGTTGGATAAATGTTCAATGACTCCTTACAGATTGTTTCAACGAAGTTCAGATTTTTCAGACGAAGTGAATCACAGAAAGAATTCCGCTGCCTTGTGTATCTGTATCTTTTATTTATTAGTCTCCGATGAATCAATCCCTATGGAGTCTTCTCAACCATCCACCCGTTTACGTCTGCTCCAACAGTCCAAGTTCAGTTTTTCATGAATGGGGAGGTCAAATAACATGACATTTTCGGTTCCAGATCCTACTCCAAGTCAGAAATGAACGGAAAACCGCCTTTCGGGTCATTTCAATGGTCATCATTAAATAGTTTACGATCGGAATTACCATTTTCACGAACTTAATCATTCGGTGGTGTAAGACATTTGCGATAGAATTGTAAAAAATAAAACAGAACAACAATACCAGGCGTAATGATCTTGTCGACTTCGCTTCCACTAAGTTTATCTTGGAATAGCTTTGGTTTAAATCCGTAATCGCTACGTTTTGTGATCACTCTGTGAGTTCTATGAGTTATAAATAAATAAATAAATAAATAATAAAACCCATCAAGTGTTTTCATCTTTCAATTAGAATTCCATCCAAATTTCTTATTCCGTAACCTTTTACTCTCGTCAAAGGTATCGTAAGTTGATTTCGGTTCTTTCAGTGGGCAAATCACTATCGTGCTAGGCAAACAGAAAGAATCAAAGGGATACTCGAGTTCATTGCTTTTATATTACCTGGAATGCGCATTTGTTTTCCCATGATAAAGTCCCTTCCGTTGTTATTAGACATTGAAACTGTCATCCTTACCTCTCACAATAGGGACTGCCTTGGATGTCGTCGAGTTTCTTCCCGACGAGTTGCTGCCAAGTCTTGTCCTTTGATGACTCTAAAAGCGCTTTCGCCGCTTCAAGCGCTGACTCCCTGAAATACGATGATACGTATCAATTGCTGTCTAATAATCACCAATTGCTGTCGGTTACATCTACAAAAAATAGCGAGAAGTGGCATAGTAGCAAAGGAGTTCACTAAGTCCCATGGATAGAGTAACTTTAGTCGCAATTTAGCTGTTTCTACCAAAGCATATGGATTTAAATAGCTCCTAGATTCTTTACTGCTCGCTTGTGTTGGGCCGAGATATTCACTTCTTCGAAGGATCCTTGTTTCAAAGCTTAATTTTTGTCTAGACATTTTCAGACCTTGAGTTATTGTCTGGGGAAATGCACCGAACAATATTACAATTCCTATGCAGGGTGATGGTATGGCGCGTCCCAAGTTGGTTGTCTCAAGCCGTAACTACTACACAGAAATCTTTTTGTAAATAAATGAGAAAAGCGTGTCTATACTTAACTTTTTTGGATAATTCTCTACATAGCATCCTTTTTTCAACTATTTTGCACTCAATATTATAAAAGTTCGTGAACTATGGCCTGAGATTGTCGACGAGGGTTCAACAACTTTCACGGCCAGTTAAAGGTAATGTCTACGAAAACTGTATCTTACCCAGTTCAAGAGAAATAAAGAAGTTATAAATAGTATAAAGCAAAGGTGGCGAAGATAGGAGCAAAAACGACGCAAAACTTTCGTTTCACTGTCACCATGGGCCCATTGGAAAGATACGGCAGTCGTCGCGG